TCCAGGAAACAGCACGTGCAGATCCCACCCTGGGAAGAAGTGGAAAGCGCTGAAGCTTTTTTGCAGATAGCTGTTCCTACTGACGTGATCGCTTTAAGTCATTTTGGAACTGAATCGGTGAAGAGTTAACTCTGAAGAAGCACTTTCAAAAGCTGTTATTTACATGAAAAAAATAAACCTTTGTAGTGCCATAGCGGGGGCTGGCGCAAGCCAAGATGAGGATAGTGCAAACAAGTGCATACGCTATGCATTGTTAGAGCAAAAACACACCCTGTGTCGTACTTTTTTAAACATTATTTTGGCCTTGGGTTATGTCCAGCTTACAAGCAATAAGAGCACCACCCACTCGTAAGGGGACTCAGAACGTGGAATTTCAGAAAAAACACAACAAAAAGCAAGGCACATCAGATAAAATGCCTGCTAAGTATTCGACAGCATTTATAATATTTTTTCCTAAGACTCGTAAGTAACAGAAGCTGCTAAAACAGACAATTCAAAGAGCAAGTCTGGTTTATGGGTAACTGTATGAGAAACTAACCACCACTCTGTTACGTTCCAGTGAAGCATCATTCCATAGCTCACACCACAAAGCAGCAACGAACTCCGTTTTGAGCGATACATATGCAACAGCTTTGTGTCTCCATTTCAGACTATTTTTCAAGAAATCATACCCACGCTGTTAACAACAATCAGGTTAATTCATTCGAAGGCAATTCAACTGTGTCTGTAGAAACAGAGTTAGAGAGAGATACATGTTCATATGTATTTATAGAATCATAGAATCACTTTGGTTGGAAAAGACCTTTGAGATCATCGAGTTCATATGTATTTACGACAGCTTTTCCTCCTGACGTTGTCCAGGAATAGCCAGGTGCAGCAAACATCTGACTGAAAGCTAGAACTGGTACAGCTTCCAGTCGGGGATGTTTACAGCAACAGACTACTACACATCACTGCAACTGTCCAACAGTGCAAAGCGGCTGGCCACCTTTAGAGGAGGGGAAATAAAAAAAAGAGATTTAAGACATGCTTCCGTAACAATCCATCCAATTACTGTTCAGCCAATTCTGAAGAAAACCTTATTTTCACCTTCAGTAACAAAAACACAGTTCTAGACTCTCAGCTTACATTAAGTTAGCATGTTTCTACATGCAACATTAGAATACAAATTCTCCATTTTTACTATACATTTTAAGACCTCTTTAGGTTCAAATGTATTTATTTTCATGTTTTATTTTATATTTATAAATAAATAAATATTTTCTTAAATACATTTGAAGTATAAATAAACCACTTTTTTTTTTTTTTAAAGATCCCTTGACTTTACTTCCCTGTACCCTCATTCCTGGAGCTCTCTCAAAAAAAAAAAATGGATTTCCACTTTGAACACCCATTTTTTGCAGATAGCTATCCTTTCATAATTATTTGTACTTTTAAATAAAACTATATGCAAAATTAAAGGCAGTAGCAAAAGAAGCCATGTTCATAATAAGGAAAATATGAGAAACAGAAACTTGACAGAATTCTGAAAACATTTACTTTCAGTGTCACAATCCTACCTGACCAGTTTAAAGTGTTATTATAACCAACAAATAAAAAAAAAAAAACAAAAACAAAAACAAAACAAACCCAAGATCAACCCCAAACCACTTTTCTTTGGGTAAGCATTAAAGGAGAAGGGCAAGGTGGGAGAGAAACCAGTAACAGCCTCAGGATGGAACAATTTTACTTCCCATCTTCACCTATGTTACTATCAAACATTACACCTAAGTTACTATCAAACTCACAAGACTGCATTCTGTTCTGCAACAATCCATTTCCTCTCAGTTATAAGACCCTTTGTAACGTTAAAAATATTTACAATGCATAACACTTACAGAGGAAATAATTTCATTTAAACCCAAGTAGTTTATTATGCGCATTGCACTGAGTTAGTTGTTGCATATTCCCCTAACACTCCGATTCCACACAGTTGTGCACAGAAGTAATCCAAAAGTCAAAATTCAAAGGACTCCTGTGGCACTCCTGCTGTTGCTAGTTTCCCCCTTCTTTGCAACGGTCATGTGGAGTCTCAAACTGCTGTCAACTTTTTTTCTTTAACCATATAATTCTGGCTTGATCATATTCACATAATATTTATATGCCTTCATTTTGTAGTTCATAGTGGCATGTCTTCCTTTGACTAACAGAGCTGAAAGCAGACTGATGCACTCCCATTTAGCAGTCTTTATCCCTTCAGAAAGAAAAGAATTTTGCAAGTAAAAAGTTTTCTACTGCCAGATTTCATGTGGACTTCAGCAATTTAAGGTTGGTTCTTCTGGAGGGTTCTGTTTAGGCCTCCACATCAGCTCATAAAAAAAAAAGAAGTTATGACAAGGAGTTTAAAAATCATCTAAAACTACATTATTCAAGATTTCTCAGTCACAGAAACCCAAACACATTCAGTTTTCAAATAAAGGTTTCCTCCTGAAAGGTGAAAACTTGTTAGCAGTAAGTGCATTTCGTTATTACAGCAGTATGCCAAGATTAACGAGGAAGCTGCATGCAGTCACTATGGATACCATGCTGACCTTCATTATTTTTGAGAATAAATAGTTAAAAAGCCAGTGGTCATTTGCAACAAAGGCCTCTTCAGGCTGTTCCAAAACTAAAAATTCCTATTTTACATTGGAAAGAAATAGGCTATTTCATGCAGAGGTAGGCACATGGTATTTGGCTAATTAGGCTGCTGAGCATTAAGCTGCAATGAACCATTTCTTACCCTGCTTTCCTTTAACACTTACTTCTTAAGGAATAGTGAAGGTTACTACAATGTCACACGCCCAAAGCGAACAAACTCCCCACAACCTCCTTATTGTTTTAACATGGAAATCATAAAATAGCCAATATACATGACGACAAAGTCCCTCGCTGCTTTATCAAACTCACTGGCAACTACAAATACTTACACAGCATCTTACAAAAAGCAATTCTATTTGTATAAAAGGAGATGACATTTTCATTTCTAAATGTGGTGCTAAAGGTAGAGGCATTACAGATCACTTTGTACAGCCACATGCTTGAAAGATACAACTTCTTTATAGAAGTTCAATCAAACCTGAAGCTGTGTATTTACTATGAAGCATCTTCAGCTATTTTCCCAAAGACTACTTTTTTTTTTTTTAAACAATTATAAGTAGACAGCGTACTCCAGCTTTCATTAAAAGGCACGGCCCTCTCATTTTTGTAAAGCTTAAAAGCACTGAAAACAAACAGGATTTATTCTAATGTCATCACAAGCCAAAGAATATCAACTGCTGGCTTCTGTTAAAGCCTTTCACTATTTTTGTTAACAGCAGCAATAAAGAGATCATCCTTTGAAGTGCAAAATCCTAACTCCACATGTAGAGAACGTACAGAACAATGCAAATCTTTAAGACTACATAAAGTCCTTTTGACACGGGAAGTTTACCTATTTGTCATTTCCCAAAAGCAATGTATAATCACCTGCCTAGGAACTGTTCTTCAGCTGTCAATACCCGAGAATAACAAAAAAGGTTTAATACTAAAAAAGGGACACAATTATGCTACCTAAAGTCTGTGTTCACTCACAATTTCCAAATCAAAGTCACGCAGGCCACAGAGATTTAGTGCAATTTTCCTGAGCCTCAAGCATTATTTTACCAGTGACACCAAACTTCTACTGCACCTTAAGGTAGTGGAGGCCCCATCCCTGGAAACATTCAAGGCCAGGTTGGATGGGGCTCTGAGCAACCTGATCTAGTTGGCGGTGTCCCTGCTGACTGCAGGGGGGTTGGGCTCGATGACCTCTAGTGGTCCCTTCCAACCCAAAACATTCTATGATTCTATGATTCTAAGATCAGAGGAAGGAGGGGAGGAAGAAGGAAGAAGGGGAGGATGCAAGCAGCCAAAAACAGAGCTTCTTCCTTCTCTTCCCCCCACATCTTAAGACACCCTCACTCTACAACCAGCATGACCACTATGATTCACTAAGTTTGAAGCCTCCGTTGTCGCACAGAAATAGTTAAATGTAAACAGAGTCAGAGGAGTCTGTCTGCGCATGCGTGCTTGTGCGTGTGCGTTTTGGAGTCAAGGGCTTGTCAATCAGTCCATCTGTCAGCCAAAGCAGTTCAGCCACAGATGCCTGATGCAAGCAAAAAAGTGATGAGAACTGACAGAGGGAGACAGATGCTCACTTTTGCTATCAATTTTTTTTTTTTTTAAAGCCATGCATATTGACCAGACCAGAATTGAGAATTAAACATTAAAACCTAAATATAAAAGGGGTTATTAAACTGCACACAAATTTAAAATAGAGAGCTCTTCACAATATAAGTCAACAGCCAGCATTCACCAGTCTTCTAGTAGTTAAGTCTGGATTTTAGAATTCTATAGTATACTATAAAGTACAGTCTATTTAAAGACTACTGGTACCTGAATTGATATGCTCTCAATATGCTCTTTTCTCCTTTCCCCCCCCCAAACTCCTCCTAAGTATAAATCTAGGGAAAACCGTTAATATTAATATAAATCCAAACATTTGCTTTTAATAGATTCTTTCCCTTTTTACCTGACAGTAATGTAATTATACCAAACTATGTAAATACAAACCCATTCCTTTGATAACTATAGTTAAGTAGCCAGAACAGATTTTATATTGGAAGTCCCCATTTTTTTTTTTTTCCTCCTTTCTTTGGTGGAGGGAGGGGGGGTCAGGGAGGGGAGAACAACTTCTTTTCACTAGGCAGTTTATTTCTAAACTAAATGCTCAGAGAAATTTATCCAACTCTGAAGTGATTAAATTCTCACCATTTTTATGCATTTTTAACTAGCCTTATCATTCACAAGCGTTTTTATTCCACTTTTTTAGGGATCACAAAGAATAAAATAAGCTCTTTGCCCTAGGTCAAACAGCGCATCTGAATCAGCATTACATTTTAAGAACTAGAGCTTGCATCTCTTACGTAATCCAAATCACATCATCTCCAAGCGCACTTACGTCATGCAGTGATTCAGATGTGTGTTACTGCCCTGAATACTGACTGTGTGCTGTCGTGAGCTTCTCACACCCAGAGTTCACTGTAGCGCTAGAAGCTGTTAATGCACAATGAATTATGATGAAGTAGGAAGCATACGTAAGTAGTTTTAACACTGCATTTCCTGTGTATTTTCAGGAAAGCACACACACTGCTTCTTTTGATCACTAATACGTACATGGTACAGCTAGCAATTTTGATACAAGAGGTAGAAGGATTTTTTTAAATTGGGACATGAATTCTAAAACTATGAAAGCGATTGAATCCAACATGACCAGTTGAAAAAAGGAGAAAAAAGGGTCTTGGTATTTTAAAAATGTATGGGAAAGCATGGAAGTAGAATGTTAGTAGTATAGCTGAGATGAGGGCTTGGATGCATGTGCACATACAATCATTTCAGAAAAACAAACACCTAGAAGTCTGTGTTGTAAAATAATACTATCTGACAAAAGGAGATCTAAGGAGGACAAACTACAGAAAAAGGATGATGGTGTGAGCCAATATAAAGTTCAGATTCAAAAAGGGCCTCTGCCCACTTGCCCCACATCTGAGTCTGAACAAAGTTAGAACAAAACCCTTGTTAATCTGGGGTAGATTCTTGGAGAAACTTAATTAGAAACTATTAAAACCAATGATTTCAAATATTTCACAGCTACCTCTACATGGCATGTCTCCATATTATCCTGAAGAGTCTTCCAATTCCTAATTTGGGCCCATAGTCTGCCTTTTCTTCTTTCGAGGTAACCAATATCTCCCGTCCAAGATCGCAAAGCTGTCTGTAGAAAAATGAGCTCTGTCTTGTTAAATGCATCTTTAAGTAGAAGATTCAGATGATCCTCCAACCTGAAAAACAGAAAGTTCACACTACTGAATATACCATAACTGATCTGATCACTCTCTCTTTGAGTGGAAGACAGAAACAGGAGGCCAAAAAACCAACCCTAACACTTGAGAAGAAACAGAAACAAAGAATTAATTTACTTGTTGTTCTTTGCACTAGTACCAGAAAAGCCCTACCCATAAAAAAAATAACCTAAATACAAATAATTCAGTCTTTAATATTTCCAGTATCAAGTTTCCTAAAACATTGCAGCCCTCCATGCCTGCCGACTCAAATATGGCCAAGCACAAATAGAAAAACCTTCCTAAAAAGACTGAAACCAAAAAAAGCTATATAAATAAGTCATCTGTTAGGCTAGGTTGCTTGGAGGGGAGGGGGAAGGGTGTTGGGGTTTTTTTTTGTTTTGGGGTTGGGTTTTTTTTTTTTTTTTTTGAGTGGGTATCAATTGAGTCTGGTGTAGCAGACTCAAATCAATGACACATTTAGCACAGTCCTTCACTTAATGACTTTTCACTCGCATTTGCAATTATAATTCTCTGGTGATATCAGCTGCCAACAATAGTTCTCTGTAACACTGATGGAAACAAGTGGAGAATTGCAAGGAGACAGTCATACTGCAAAGTCCCTTTGCTTACCTTCACTGAGCAAGGCCACATTTGGATAGTCTGCTAACATCGGCAATCCAACAACGAAGGCTACACCATATTACTAGGTGGCTGGAGAAGCTGGTAAGGGCCAGGGCACCAAGAGATCTGCAGGCAATACAAGATAAATGTTCCCATTTTAAGAGTAATCCTGCGTGAACATATTCCAGTCCTTGCAAACTGGTATAGCTGCAAATACAACAAATCTTGGCATTTTCACACTTAATTTTGGTAAGCAGAGCCTGGAGATTGCTACTGCAGCCTGTAGACTGGTGAAGGTGCACTGTCACAACAACATATTTCCCCTGCTGTATGAGAGCTCAACTCCCCCACTGCAATTAAAACCTGCAGAGTATCAGGCTGAAGCAATCTCTACACCAGCATCAATCTTAACCTTGCTCCCAGAGCATATACGATTTTTTTTTTTTTTTTAAAATTACTTCAAAGAAAAAAAGCTCAACCCAGCAAGCATGCAAGTCACGAACATCAGATAAGTGCGTGGCATTTCGTTTTACAAAGCGTCTTTGTCCTTATGCGCAAGTTCAAAAAAAAAGTTAATTATTTGTTTTGCAATAATACCCAAGAGACCCATTCTTTTAAGTACACATATACAGCCTGGTTCCACAAAGGAAACAGTCCACACAAGAACAGCATGCACTCATGGCATCCACTTCAGGATCAACACCCTCAAAAACAAAAGCCATGCAACATAAAAAATTAATACAAAACACCTTTCAACTGCTCTCAGAACAATTATCTCTATTTAAAATGTAGATTTCACCAAGTTCTTTTTAGAAAGTAATTTTCAGGAGTTACTGACAGTAACTGGAAACAGACATAATGCCCTGGGCAAAACAGTTCATTTTGAAGACATTACTCCATATTCTCCAATCAATCTTACATAGGATCTGACAACTATACTTGGAAAATTACAACTTTCATAGCCTCTGCCTCAAACACCATCTCCTCTAGAATCAAACCACCTCCTCCAATAATTTATAACACAACAAGGATTAAACTGCCTTTCCTAGTCTGTAAATATGCCAGGAGTATATCTGACAAATTTGAGTCATGTTTGCCTACTTGGAGCAATGTAACATTTAACATTTAGTTCTTGGACTACAATAAGAAGAGATGCTCAATTTTTTTTGAGAAGACAAATGACTTAACAGGACATTTTTTTTCTAAATCGTGAAAATAATCTTTGATTTTCATACTGACAGTTAAAAGTTTTGCTTACCAACTACCAAATGCATTAGTCTTCTTTTGCTGTATTCTATACAGAATGACCAATATCATCTAGAAAAAGTGGCATGGCATTCACAGAAGGTTCCTGACAAGCACAAACCCCACCATACTCATGTCTGAGAAAGTCAAAAAAAGGAGGTACAGAGCACCGCCAACTTCTGGAAGGCACATGGAACACATCCACATGGAATTAATTTTTTAAAGATGTGGACAAAAAGATAAAAATGAACAATTAAAGATTTATCAAAGACTGAATGAACCCGACCAACCTCACACCAAAACATGGGGGGCTACTTTGATGAAAGTGGAATGGCGCATGTAACAAACTTTGACTTTAGGACAGCTTTTGAGGTCTCCCACCACAGTCTCACCTGGGAGCTGAGGGAGACCAAGCTCAATAAACAGAAGGGAAGCTGAGCTGGGAAACTGGCTGGGTCTCTGGCTCACACGGCTGCAACCAACGGCTGAGCGTCCTGCTGCAAGCTGGCGAGGGAGGACCCCGGGGCCAGCACAGGGCTCCAAGCACGCTCAGCAGCAGCCAGGAAAATCTCACCGGGTTCAAGAAGGACAAGCGCAAAGCTCTGCACCCAGGGCAGAAGAACCCCATGCGTCAGCACAGGCTGGGGAGAGCTGGCTGAGCAACAGCCCTGCTGGAAAGGGCCCCGGGGCTGGGGCAGAAGCCAGCTAAAACAGGAGCCAAGGTCTCACTGCAGAGAAGGCAAACTGCAGAGAGGACTGCAGGTAAGGGATGTTATCCCTTCCTGCCTGCCATTGGCAAGGCCACTCTGCAGGCAGTGGGTGCTCAGGTGAGGACCCCCACCCACTTCAAGGAGGACGCTGAGGAACCAAGGAGGGTCCAGCCCTGGGCTACCAAGGTGGTCAAAGGCCTCCAGGGCATCACCCACAGGGAGAGGGTGAGGGAGATCGGCCTCTTTTCTCTGGCAAAGAGAAGGCCAGGGACCATCTAAGAGCTGCCTACAGCTGCCAAGGTGGGAACTGTAAAGACAGTCAAACCAAATGCGTTCTCAGCACTGCCAGGTAGGACAAGAGTGAGCAATGGCCTCAAAAGGCAGCATGGAAAATTCAGGTTGGGCACGATGACAACCTTTTTCACCAGGAGGGTGGTGGAGCCGAGGAATGGGCTTCCCAGAGAGGCTATGGATTCTCTGTTCTTGGGGGGGTTTCATGGCTTTGTAGGACAAAGCCACGGCTGACCCCACCAAGTGCTAGTTAGAGCTCTGCTCTGAACAAGTGCTTGGACCAGAGACCTCCAGAGTCTCTTCTGACCATTATACTTGCAACTCCATGATCTCATTAATTCCTGTGATATGCTTCCAGCAACTATATCTTTGTTTATATCACTATTCTCAGACACGATGATGTCAATAAGTCTTTGGAAAAAGAACTATCCATAGATGGCATCAGTACAGACTTTCCTACAAAAATCCAGGTGTTATCAGTAAGACTACAACGCTAACAGCTCCAACATTTCTCAAATCACTAATATTTAATGTTCGAACTGTTTTAATCACCTGGTGCCAAATATTTGAAAAAATAAACTACAGAGAAAATAAAAATTGCATACCTATGCCTGCTGAATTTAAATATGTTGCCAAACACTATCCCATGGTCACCTTTGTAGATCACTCAATGGTCCTCCAGAAAAACCCTTTCAAGATTATATTTTTATGCCAGTATCTTCGAGAACAGGAAATACGAAAGATACTTTCACACTGCTTCCTTGTAGAAGCTCCCTCAAATTTGAAAAAGGCAGTAGAATGTTTCCCACAAGACAATTTTGAACATGAAATTTTCAAAATGTCACTCTTCAGCAACACACAAGGATGCCTTACATTTAAGGCTAGACTACCGATTTTAAGTCTCTTTTTCCCTAGCATGTCTCAATTTTGTTTCCTCACGGTATTAAACATAGCTTTTCAAATCATAATAAACTAAATATAGAAGATGGACAGTACGACCCATCGTTCCTGTGCCACAGTACAAATGTAGAGCTTTAGTGACAATCAGAATTAAACCAATGACAGTAAACAGTTTGGGAGTAACTTAGAAGTAAAAGGACTGGTTCCTACACCCCATTCCTAGGACCATGCAGATTCAAGCAACAATTCAATGCAGTATCAAAACAGCTTGGTGAAGGCCATCCACCTGACATTATAATCCTGCTTTGGGTACTTTTGGTCAAGTGAACCTTGAATTATCTCATGCTGTCACTAAGCTTCAAAATAAGAATGAAAGGTACTCAATTTAATCAATAAGACTAGTAGCTAAAATGAACTCTCTCTTCCTTGCACTGGTGTTTTTCCACACCTTTTAGTGAACCAATGTATTAATCTAAAAAAAAAAAAAAAATAGAACCCCCTATCCCCACATTAGTGGTTAGCGTACTGCTAGAAGAGGAGCTCTGAAAAACAAAACTGTTGGTGCTGAAGACAATATTCACACTGCTTGTATTCCAGGGGATCTCACTTCAGAATTAGCTCTGGCTAATGGTCTAAACAGCCTTAAACCAAATGCATTAGCCAAGTCCAGCAGCACACCTTTCAACTCTGTTTCATCCAAAAGAAGTAGATTTGCATGTTCCACAAGAACTGCAGAACAGATATTGGAGACCATCAGAACGGTCATGTCAAAATTGCATTCCTGATCCCAATTAAAACGTGAACGTAGTTCACTACATGACCTTTCGGCTGTTGTGCAAGTTGAATCAGTTTAGTGAGATGTCCGCTGCGTAAATGGCAGGAGAAGCACATACAGCATGAAAGCATTTCCGAAGCTTTAAGCCATTAGATAATTAAGCAATATGAATCAGAATAATATCCCAGTGGAGTTTCATTTGGCAGCAAATTTTCTAAACAAGTTGGAAATTTACAGGTCCATTCTGGGGTTCACGTGAATGTTCACAATGTCAAGAAATATCCTAAACCTGGATTGCCAAATGCTATCCAGTCAAAGCTGCTTCTACCATTTGGAGAGTCCAGCTCTGAGCAGGATTTAAAAAAAAAAGATTCCTTCATTCAGTCTTGGCAAAATAATCTCTCAAAGAAAATTATTTAGGATTCATCACCTTCCTCTCTGAAACCAACAAAAAAAAAATATCTATTCCTTAGGGGAAAAGAGAGAATCAGCAGCACAGAATGCCATTATCCAGTCTATAGGTATCAGCACTCTGGAGATAATAATGCAGAGTTATCCCAAAGTTAATCCTGAAGAAATTTTTATTAGCTGCATTTTACATCACAGAACCTAAACACTTAATTTTGCGCATGCCTACAAAATACAGAATGCATGAATGCAACAATTACATGCAGTTGAGATCTCTGTCACACCTCAAATAGAACTGTGCAATACGACCACCATTTAGTGCAATTTAGTATTGCTTTATAATTATCTTAACGAGGAAGGCTGTTGCACAATGACCATTGCAAAACCATGAAGAGAATACTCACACCAGAGCCTGACTACTGGTGCATTTTCAGGATGGTTTAAATTGAACATGGCAAGAGAACTGTGGCAGAAGTGTAGTCCTGTTCTCTGTCTTGCAGCTGAGGGATTCCTGCTTCCTCCACTGTTACAGGAATTTTATAATTTCATGATGACAGTTACTTGGACAACCACTCCATTAGCTGCAAACTAATCCTGGGGAAAAAAGAAAAAAGGAAAAAGATCAGTTTTCTGCTACACAGCAGGTAGCTGACCTCAGTTACCGGCTGGCAGTACAATCCTTAGCACTGACAGGAAAAAGGTACTGTATAGGGCAGGGCTGCCTGTTTTGGTGGCAATACAGTGTTAAATTAACATAGGTGAATTGTTTAACCACAACAGGAACCTTTCCCAACCACCCTCTCAGAAAAAGACAGCAACGCTTAAGACCTCTGGTATCAATATTTTGAGTGGGGAACAGTAACATGAACAAGCTGTATCTCTCATAAAGACACAGTAAACAACAACAAGTATTTGGCAAAAATCACACTCCTTTAAAGGTAGTATCAACTTTACAACCATTTAGATGTAGCTTCAGTACTTCCATGCCTTACAACAGGAAACCGAATTTGAAAAACCAGCAGAGGAACACCGAGCTGCCTCTCACTCTCTGCATCACAGTTCACCCCAACCACGCATCCGAAAACTGTCCTTCAGCACTTTAACACCGCCTGTTAAGATGGAGCTGCTCCCACTGACATTCATGCAAGAGAGTCAGCAGACTCCACCTCCATGGAAATCAGCTGAGCAGGACTTACATGGCAATCACTTTTCCTGAATGCTGGGGTTAGAAGTCTGTCTTATATTACCAATGCTCCACCTGCTGGTATGTGAACAGCACAGATTAGTCCAGAAAGCATCCTGACCTTGCAGAGGCAAAGACAAACCAAAAGAATGCAAAAATAAACAAAACTGGTTCCGAGTAGTCAGAAGCATCTAAAGCACCTAAGGTAAAACCTCCCCTGAAGAATTTGGCAGTATAATATGTTTCTGAATACTAATATTCCTGAAAAATAATTGTGAAAACCTCTAACGAAAGATGTGGTTCAATCCTCCTTTGGTGGCTGGCTGGCTACTAACATGTTAACATTAGTTACTTCATCAGGACAAGGGTACAGTTCTACAGAAAAGTTTGCACGAGAGATGCAAGCCAAGCCCAACTGTGGAGCTCCACACAAAACCATCATCAAGACTGGAGTTTCTACATTATAAACTTGATTTTATAGCAAACTTCACTAGTGCCCAAAATCTCATTAAAGCCAGGCATCTCCCCAAAACAAATAAACCAAAAATAATTAAAGCTGCCCACCTCATTTCACCACATTTACATATGAAAAATGTGTTTACAAAAACAATAAATAAGCAAATGTGTGGCTCGTCACAAAAATTCTGCCATAGTCAATTAATAAAACAGATGATGTTCCCTGAAAGAGGTTTGAAGAGCAAGGATGCTACAGTACTTAAGACTTATTTCACCTGTTGAAAGAGCTGAAAGGTATCTTCATTCAGCTCTCCACAAGGGCTATCATCCGTTTCAATTGCGTTTTTATAAGCCAAAGAAACCAGGATAGGTAACTGAAGAAAACTCTCAGGGTGTTTGGAGATAGACTGAACTTGTAAATCAGCTGTTTTCCTCAACCACTTCCATGCTGTTGACCTGCAAGTGTGGGATGAGTTCCTGAAAGCACTTTTTACAGCCACCCACTACTTCTTTTCTGAGTGACCAACTGCAAATTCTCAGCCAGTTTTGCAGAACTGTTGTATCTCAAGCAGAGGTCAGTGGAGACCACGTGAGCTCAACAGAAATGTTGTAAAAGCATCAAGAATTTCCTCTAGAGAATCAACTCAAAAAAGAAAAAAAATTAATTTCATGTGCAGTTTGTCATCTTCTTTCAATGTGAAGAATTAACATGTAACTGGTACTACAGCAATAAGCATCAGCCATAGCATTTCTAGAACAAACACGTGCTGTGAAAAGCGTTAAATAAAAGTTAACGTGTAGGATGGGACCAATGAAAGTACACATAAGGAAATGCTGCAAATGCAGGCTTCCAGTCATTGTATAAAATAAACTTAAGCACCACCAGCAGACCAAAACTCACTGTCCTTCCAAAGCCACAAAAAGTCAGCTGCCTTAGGCTCCACTTAAATGCAAGAAAGAGAGTACCACTGTTGGCAACATTTGTCAAGCTCCATCTGCAAGTGAAATCACACATTTAATCTTTCAAATTCCAACTTCACTACAGTGCTATTTAAAAGCAGAACACCTCAAACTAATTATATTCTCCAACTTGAAGCAACAGCTACAAAGACAGGAAACATCACAGAGTTAACAATAACCTGTACACCACAGTGCTTCAGTCTCCAGTGATCTGAAAGTCCTACCTGTGCAGATTAACCAGACAGCTAAAAGAACTTCTTGATTCTACAGGGGATGAAGAAGTTATTAAAGCAGCCACCCACATCATTCAAATTAACAGCACACTATAAGCAGTCTGTACTATTAAGGAAAGTTCTGCAATAGTAGATTTGTAGTGTACCAGTAGAGAAAACCAGTATTTACCTTTTCTTTTAAAGAAGGTGACTTAGGAAAATATTTCCCTTTTCACAGAAAGAAAAATAACTGATGATTAGCAGTCTTTGAGAATTGCAGCAGAGGTTTGGTTTTATTGGGTTGTATGGTATTCTTAGGAGAAATCTGAAAGTAATACTACACATAACACCAATTCAAGCTATGCAAATAAAGGTCGTTCCTTAATTTACATATAAGCAAGAAGTCAGGTATCATTAACTGCAACAATAAGGAACCTCACATTGAAGTTTGTATTATATCAGAAAGAGCAACAAATAAGCCAGTACTTCTCCCTGATATTGTAGGATGCAGCTTCACATTAACATACAGAATCACCGCTTCCATCAGCCTGTTAGACCCACAGAATGTTTAAGTACATAGATTTATTTTACCTTCCTGAGATTTTACTGCTTCTAGTAAATATTTGGCATAACCTGGCTTTTAACTGAACCACCAGCTTAGCCGTTCCTGATCCAACTAGCATGGCTATCAAGACAAGTCATTTAGTCACCATATTCAAAGTGAAAAAACTCACTGTAAAATTTTGATTAGTCTTTTGAACTCAAAGCAGTCATACAGGCTTAAATCAAATGAAAAATACAAGACCAGACAATCACGCCTAAGCACATAATATCTGAGGACATCAACTACTACATTTTATTCTGTAATTCATAATATTAAAAGCATTTGATCAGATGCAGCAACTAATTTTTCAAGTTACAGAGCAACTGAAAAAAAAAAATCAGGGGAGAGGGACGAGTCAAAATAGATGTGTATTTTAAGCAAAGAAAATAGTGCAACGTTCCTTGTTAAAGGATCTGTCTTCTATCACGGCTGATTCAAGTTTCAAACGTGGCAAGCTTTGTTTAGTGTTATGGTTTTCTTTTCCACTATAAAGGCTAGAGATACGGCATACCAATCTTCACAAAGCTCTAGATGTCACCTTAACTTTCCTTGATATTTCCTTGAAATACTCCCCTGATATATTCAGAACAGATAAGGGGCAGGTTGCAGAAGAACCAGCTTCCCCGATACCAGAACATTCCCAGTGTTCCAGTGACCTGAAAGCACCTGATCCTGCCAGCAGACAGCTCACTTATCCTACAGCAAAGGGCTACGTGAAAATGAAGATGTCCTTGACCTACAGGGAGATCGGAGAGTTAGACTCAATGAACCACCGTCAAGAAAAACATTCTTGAAAACATTGCCTTTGTCTTACTGGGATAAAGTATACGCCTCTCAAACTAATATTAAAAATTAGTTAGCTATAGTATTTCTTGTCTTAACCTAATCTGATGGAAAAAATGTGTTTACTTATCCTTCTAGAAGTGAGTACAATATTGATTACTCAAGTTATTTTACTGGTTAAATATACTGAACAATAATGTAAGATAAGCAAAGCTCCAAAAGAAGTAGATTGAGGGGCAATGATGAGAAAGAATATTTATTTACAAGCATGATCCAGATGTAATCAGATCATTTAGTTACAAAGTTTATCAGCAGTGCTAATAATACATCACATGTGGTCTCGAAGCGAAAGATATCTAAGAAAACATCAGGTTAACAATGCACATTACACTAAGCATATGAGTATGCTGTAAGAATACATGTTAAAATAATTATGCACATCAAATATGGACCAGTCAGCCAGCAGAATAAATATGGATAAAAAAAAGCAACAGCCTTTAAGCACAAAGGTGCCCATCTCCAGGAAGAGCCACAAACAACGCACAGCTTTCACACCCCTAGCCAGAGCGCTAGTAAGGATGAGGCAAAAAGAAGGAAGATGTGATGGAAAACTCACATCAATTTTAATTTTAACTACTTAATCAAATCTAACACTGATGCAAGACTATTGCTGTGAGTACTGACTCTCAGGGCACAACAGCTGAGATGCCTCAGAAATTCTAGCTAACAGCAGCTAAACAGCTAGAGAGGTCACCACATGCTTGAACCAGCACAGAGTTTGCAGCCTGTTCTACTTCTACCCTTTTGTTTCCAATTTTTATCTTACTAAATAACTCTGCCTTCTATTTTACTGTTCTGTTTGCCTGGTACTGAGGATATGGGGAAAATAAAGAGTTTGGTGAAGGTTAAAAAAGGAAAACAATTCTGTGTGCCAGCAGCCACGAGCAGTCTGTACCCTGGGATACATGCTTAGGAAGCTCACGCACTACGGAGCATTTTCTGCCAAGCTGCAGAGGGTCAGCAGGGCATCTTCTGTTGCCAAGCATCCGCTTTGGGAAATGGTACTTTCCAGAAGGTACAAATTTGAGCCTTTTTTGTAGGTTATCAACAGTACACAACATACCTCACCACTCACCCAAAACTGCGAACTCACGCTGCGATTCCTGCATATAAAAGTACTCATTTAGTGCATTGAACACTCCAAATGATGAACTGAGCAGTCAAAGATAACGCATAAAAAAAGAGCTCAGTCTTCAGGAACACTTTGAACATCAGAAGAACAACAAACCCGGATTTGGCTGAACCATGCAGAGAAAACAATGAAGTGAATGAAGAAAGTCCTCTGAGGCTCATCTGCCATTTTGATTTATCATCCTC